GAAGGGAAAAGCAATGAAAAACCCATAACATCTCCATGTTCCAGATCAGTATTTGTCAAATCAGGACCTGCTGGCAAAGCTGCGTGTAGTGTCTTGTCTATAATATTCTTTACAGCAGTCTCCAGTATCTAGAAAACACCACAGATGAGCAGAGTGCCAGATAAGTCTAACTTCTCTATGAACAGTGAGACAATAAATACTAAGGTTGCTCAGATGCAACCCCAGACTGAAACGCAGCAAGTAGCCCTGAGAAGAAGCAGAGTCCTCCTGAGCGCAGAGCCTTCTGGAGGCAGCCCTTATACATTCGTACGCTTCAGCATACCTTCAGGTAGCCCACAACGAAACAAGCCCCACAGGCGCTAGCAAGTACCATGAAAGCACCACAGTTCGCTCCAGCCGCAAAGTCTATCAGACTGGAAAGTTCTCTTACTGGAGTCAACGTAGGATATACATACATGCCCGCAGAGTACATGTATTCAGATCATTCAGAACTGTGCACACACCCTGACCTCCTTCGGGACTCTCCAACCACAAGGCATTCCTTCAATTACTTGAAGAAGTAAACAGTAGTAGCCATTACCAGGGGTTTGGGTATATTTGCTTCCATATGCAATATCACACACTGCCCTTGCTACCACTCTCATGTTACTTGTACTGCCTTCAGTAGCATGTATGTTGCTGCCGGTCTCCCAATGGTCAGCAAATAGCTTCAATTTTCATTTATACAACAGCTTATAGCTATTACAAGCACAGCAATTTCATCAAATCAAAATCTGTAGACCGTAAGCTTCACTGGCTTCCCCAGTAGCAGCCAGCCTATGGACAAGCTCTCCCCGCTATTTTCTACTGCCACTTCATCTTCCAGCTGCCAGTAAACCAGCTGGACTTTTAAGAAATCCACACCGTGACAACTTCCTACCTGCCAACCAAGATATCTTTTGCTATCCAACTGCTCACGGTCCTCAACTAGATGGAATTATAAAACTGTTAAACTCTGGATTTCCCATCCTCTTTTCCTAAAGCTTTGCTGCTTGTGTTCCATTTTGCTAACAGCAGAATCAATGGCACTGGTGAATAAAATGACAACAATCAGCCAGTACTGAACTAGAGGACCCCAAGATAACTTTTAACATCAAGTTTTTGAGTCATATCTGTAAGTCAAAATACAGATGTTATGACCAAAAAAAAAAGTCATATTCATATGTTGTAATGATCTTGACACTGCTTAAAGAAAACACTCCATCAAAACTAAACTGCAATACTAATATCCAGAAACATAATCTATTATCAACCACCTGAACCCAACCTTTACATATGATAAAAACAGAGAGGAAAAAAATCTCCTTCCAAAGTCAACCACTTCCAACCACAAAATATGGCTGTGTTCACAACTAGAAATATTAATCACAATCTACCTAGATAAGTCACGTATTTTGTTCAACAGCGCTCTAACAGCTTTCTCAGGAAGTATAGCACTTTAATTTTAAACCTACAGCATGTATGGGTCTTTGATATTAGGAAAAATCATAGTCACTTGCTCTCAACAACAAATAGAACTTGTGCATTTAAAAACTGTATTTGTGAAATTAATTTTATGATATCATAAATATGTCAACAAGGAATACAGACCAATAGAGATATCACTGCTGTAATTATCTTCCGACACTAAGTACCATCAGTTCACTGCAAAAATATCCCCCCAAATATAATGACTTGTGCTGGCTTTTATTCACTTTTTTGTCATTTCCTCTAGATCACTACATAAAAGTAACTGTGTGGAGGGTGAAAAAAACATGAGAACTTTTCACAGTAGTTTCCCATTTCTCCAAAAATAGAAGTACCGTTGTGTTTTTGCACTTGCTGTAGGTTCCACTACATCAAATTTTGAGGGTGATGGGGGTTTCCATCTTATGCGAACAGTGGTACATTTCATTATCTGTGCTAACAGGAAGCTGTTCTCTTTACAAAAAAGAGAAGTTGGCTGCCTGCATGTTTTGAAGTTACAGCCTAGCTTAGCCTGATATGGGCACATCCAGCTTCCGTTGAAACTGAGCCCATTCAGTGCTTTGAAGTGTGACACGTGGCTGAGAGAAGCAGAATAAGAAATGACAGAGTAAGTGTTGATTGCACCCATGAGTATGCCTAATTCATAATGCAGTAATTACAATAGCTTGCAACTTGCTAATGCTGAAGGTCAAAACAAACTTTGCCCGGTAACTGCATATGGATCACAGTTAGGCTATGGCATTAACAGATTCCCAGATAAAGTGGAGAATCACCTACCCTATAGACTTTTTCTTTCTCATCCTCATGCGTAAACAGAGAAAGTGAAAAGAGATACCCTGCAATGGGAAGTCAGTATGCTTGCCATTAAAGCATTGTAGGCCTTACTTACAGGAATTTGTATCACCTTTACAAGGAACCTGCACAAACACAGCTGGCTTCTAGGTAACCATATTTACTAAAAATATAATCTAAATATAAATGTATATTACTGTGTTATGTTCTTATAGCTTTCGCAACAGAGCTTAGGAAGGCCTGCCAGAAGGTCTTCAAAGTATTTTCATGGAAGTCATCTTCCTCCTCAAAGCCATTGCAGGTGCTCTCCTGAATCAAAACTGTATTTATTGAAAAAAAAATTAAATATTAACAAATAAACAACAGTTTCACTCCAGTTCCAGGCAAAATCTGCAGATGATCACACAAAAGTAAAGCAGCACTTCTTCACTGATATTATTAAAGAGAAACAGTCTCATATAAAAGTAACAAAACAACATAAATCTAATTCCACATCGCATTCTTCATATTTCCTGCTTACTTCCTATATTTCCTTCTGTTTGGATAATGAAAAAATCAAAGAAATCATATTTGGATTTGAAAACAGTCACTTTAGTTCAAAATTATCCATAAATGATTGAGACCACACGTGCCCTAGAATTTTTTTAAAAGTTGGTTTAAACTAACTCGGAGGTTCAGCAAGCACTAACTGAAAACAAAATTCACTGGTGACAACAAATCACTTTTGAAAATTCAGGCTTCAAGCTGCAAGTGTGTGAAGATTTAGTCCTCAATTTCCTATGGCCATGAGGTCACTCACTGCCGTAACTCATTGCACAGGGTACTATTTGTTTTTAAAACATTTGTACATTTATTCTTATAACCTTTTTAATGAATAATTATTTTTAGTCTGATTTCCAGGAGAAATGAGTTTAGTGTGTTTATAATAGTTGTTTGTCCAGCTCCCTCACTATTTAATTCCAGTGAGTAATTTGAAAGTCGTAGAGGTGTCAGTGCTAAAAAAAAAAATAACAGGGAAGGTGAAGGGAAGGCGAAGGGAACTCAAGTTAGTGCCACCACTGAAGGCAAAGAGCTTCAGGTGTGACAGCTCCATTTGGCTCATGCCAGTCAGTATGCTCACAGCTCTGAACTAGAACACGGCACGTTGCTTTTCGGCTTAGTGACTACGTTATAGAAACATGTAGAGACATGGGGTTATCTCCGTATGAGGCATTGTAGGTTTAATTCGCTCCACATCCATAAATATATGAAAAAAATTTCACCACCAAAACATTAAGGCTTAGAATTATTGAAGAACAGTTTTTATAGTTTTTATAGACCGATAATCCAAGCTAAGAAATTTAGCACTTTCATCAAACATATGCACCACAAAACAGTTGTACTGATACCTTAAGATATATAGTAGATAGGAATAGCCATACAGTAGTAAGGAATAGCCATACAACAACAGACTCATCACAGGCACAACAGAATCTTTTGGAAGTAGTCCTTAATGTACTTTTTCAGTGACTGCAGCCACAGTCAAGAAGGGTTTGGGTCCTATTTAGAACTGTAACTGAAATTAGAACCCAATTTTCCTTACTGTGCTGCCTTTTGAAGGGAAATCTCTATAAATTTATAGCTCTAGGAATCTAGTACTTATTAGTTATTAGGATCAAGAAAGGACAAACAAAAAAATTATCCCCTCAAAAAAGTAAACAAGCTAGAGGTCACTTTGGCACAGAAGTAAACTGAGGTTGGTTTTTTTGGTTTTGTTTTATTTTTCCATTTTGGCAGGTCTTACTTAAAGAAAAACTATGTTAATCTCATACATAGGAGAAAAATAAAATAAAATGCCTTGAAAGTATAAATACCTGTGCCCATAAACTCTGGTATTAATTACAACATAAATTTCAGCTCAGTAATGTAGTAACACTGAATTTCCAGTAAGAAACCTGAAGAAAACCCAAATCCTACTAAAAACCTATAAGAGTTTGTTTCAAAGTTGGTCTATGGTGAATTCTCGCTATATTTATTATTGCTAAAACCAGCTCAAACTTAGGTTTGTATTGGTTTTCAGGACTTGGATCCTCTTCAGCCCATTTTGTCTTAGGTGGCAACAGAATGTTTGCCAGTTTTTATTTGTTTTTTATTTTATGTCACATTTAAGATAGTTCAGTCGATGCTACATACATATTATTAACGATTTCCTTATCATTCTGATGGGATATGATTGTGCTGTCTCTTCATGTGACATAGCACTTAAGAAGAAAAAATATATATTATTCTTCTACCACCATAACTCCACAAATGAGTAAATTCCAAGGCTTTTGTTAAACACTTTTCAGCATGCAGTTTCATAACCAGTCAATTTTGCAATGTAAATATTGTTGATATTATACTTGATATTGCTTCTTAGTTACTTTCAAGTACATTATAATGGAGGTTCCCTTCCAAAACAGCTCTTTTTTTTCTTTTTTTCTTTTCTTTTTTTTTCCCACCCTTCCAACCCTTTTCCTATTCCTCTTCTCCCAGCACCTAGCATTTAAAATTCTGCCTTTCTCTCTCTCTGTTGTCCCAGAATTTGTGCTATTTTCTCCTTCTTATGATCCTGACCTCTCTAAAACTATCCATGTCAAATTTTATTCTGATATTACCATGCTTTTTCAGTGGAAAATAACAGTATGTTCTGAATAGTAATCCATTGCACCCCTCATTTTAAGGGGAAGGAGGCAAGACACATGACAAAAATCATAGAGTGAAATAGCTGGAAGTCCACCCACTGGGAAAGGCTGGATGGCAGAACCACTGTGCAATGCTGCTGTAAAGAAATGCAAAGTAAGTATTATTTTACATTTTATGATGCTTACGTAAAGCTCCCTTTTTCATTTGAAAGCAATGAAAGGCTAATTTGCAGTTAGAGGTTTATATTGCTCAGGAATCATACTGGGCAGTCTTACAGTTGAATAAAAATTAGTTCAGCCGTCAAAAGACTATGTAAGCTGGTGCAGAACGAACCTTGGACTAATTTGAAGCCCAACTGTGGACTGGGAATTGCAGGCAAAAGACACTAATCAGTGGCAATGGTTCATTGTAAAACTCCATACTGCTGATAGCTGCTTTCAACACCCGCCCACCATCCAATCTGTGCCTCTCCTTCCATCACCCATAAAGCTCTGGGTACGTGCTGCTTGGGCATCCACTTCAACATCCACTTCTCAGACCTCATCTAAATAGACAAATTACTAGTAAAAGACAAATCTTTCCTATCCATTGCCTTTGTTCACCTCGAACACTGTGCCCCACAGAAGATTAACGGCAATGCAGTCCACTAACCTTTTCCAAATGTTTTCTACGAGCATGTAGCCATGCCTGTCTTGTTACCTTCCCTTTCTAAACTGCCCTCCATTTTGCTGCCATTTCCACAAAGGTATGTGAATCCTCTTTAGCAATCACCTCTGTGCCTTCTTCCTCATTTCAGTTACCAATTGCCCATTTTCCCCGATCTCCTGATTTCTACACCCTTATTTAAATTTACTATTATTTAAAAAAAAAAAAAACACACAAACACTTCCCCTCCCCCAAATTCTGTCCCCGTTATCTGCAATTTGACATTACCTACATCGAAAATTCCTTTTTCTATTTTCTGATTTGTCTCTGCTTGAAATATTTCACACTATGGATACATATGGATAGAGAGAATTCATTCTTTATTATTATTTTATTTAAAAAACATATAATACCACTGGGGAAAACCTATTCAGATTTCCAGCCAGAATCCATCTAATATTTTCTTATCTGATTTAACTGAGCTTCTGAAGAGTACTTGGTATACTGTGTATATTACTTTGAAAAAATAAAGTATAGAGAATTGTTGACTGAAAATAGTTTTAAAAATCCAACAAGTTCACTTCTAGAGTGTTCCTGGCCGTTAGATTCCATGGAATCTGTTATAAACAATTTATAATTATTAATGAAATTTTAAATTACTATTTTAATTTATTAACCAAAGTTAAAAATTTGAGAAATTCTGATCTAAAATCATACCAAACTAAATCAATAATAGAATTTTAGAGCAATTATAACAGCAATGATATAAGAAGTTAATTACAAATTCCTGCCCAATGCCTACTTCCTTTCCTTCACAACATCTTTACACTGGTCTAAATGGCATATTAATTCCAATAGGGAATTCTCTATAGGGAAAACAGCAAAACAACCTCAGTTTCACTATAATTCAATAAACATTGTGGCAGGAATGGAAGTTCCCAGTCATTACCAGAAGTGCAACACATGACACCTACGTAGTGGAAGACTGAGACTGTCAGAATTTCCTCTCATGCGCTACCCTCTGTAGTACTTTCAGTTTTTCAGGGGTATAACTGTAATGGAAAACACAGGACTCAACACAGTCCCCAACATACTTTGCCTTAACGTACACATGCAAGACTGGTGACAATTTTGAACAATCTATTCTTATGTGGCAGCTTAAAGCAGGGACAGACTGACCCAGCTGGATTGCCCCAGCTGTGAGAAGACATGCTCCTTGAGACCCAGGTAAGTTTTGTGCAGTGCTGTGCTTTATACCATCTGCTCTTTTGTGCTGCTGGTGTTTGAGGAATCAAATGCGCCTCCAGGCAAACAACAGTGAAAGCATCTCTGTGCTAGGTATCGCTACAGCAGAGACTTCAACAGACAGCTAGCCATGCATGATTTAGGCAGAGTGTTTTCATAGTGTCTTATACAGGAAACAAAATTACAGCCGTGATGCAGTTTATAAATTCATGGGTTGCTCTATATATTATGTCATAATTAGATCATATGTAATGAACTGACCCTGCCCATAAGAAAGTTTACATGGTGGTGGCTTTAAACAATGCTGTTGTAGAGGAATGGAAACAGGTTGATATTTCATATTATTGTGGTGTGTTTTTTTTTTGTTTTTGAAGCCAGTGTGTAATACTCCAAAATATAGTAACAGTGATTTGAAAGAATATTCATCAAGTGAGATTGTTTCAGGGCTGATCAAACAAGTTTGAAATGATGTAGTACACTGAGAGACCCTAACCTCTGTATCAAAGTTCAGCTTTCAAGGGAGGTTTGAATCTACCTTTTGGGATGAGCTCATCCTAAGCTCAGATGGTAGTCCCCAGAACATCAACAATCAAGTTTCAGATACATTAGCTGTTTTGCTATAAGATTTTCCTCAGTCTCTTTTTTTTATTTTAGGTTAATTAATTAAACAATCAGAGAACAACAACACTACTGGATTTTCAATAGTAACAGGGCATTTGAATTGAAACAAAATATCTTCTTTTGTTAGTGTATACAACAGCATAAAAGATATTTTCTGTACGTTCAAAAAATAGCAGGTTTTGATACTAGCTAAATAGCAAGTAAGTAATAAAACTAGCTAGAAAGTGAGAGCTTATTTTCACACAAGAGGTTCAAGGATGATTTCAGTATAGCTTCCATTAAATCAAAAACGCTATCATACTACTTTACAGGGAACTCAATGTTTCTGCTACAGCCAATAAGATCCAAACCAACACTGAGTTTTTCAGTTTGGTGAATTTAAGCATTAAGTGGATTGGTAGGGACCTGATGCACATAAGCCATGCAATCCCTTGAGAAACGATTTTCAAATTAACTAATAAGATATTGTACTGCTTACAGCTTATTAGAGAGAAACAGTAAGGAGCAATAGCATATAGTTACCAAGCCTGGGATTTAAGAACTGGATTTTGCTGTGATGTCCATAATTTTTAGTGCATTGGTTATGCAAAGGAGCAGGTGAGAAGAGGGCTTAGTTTCATATTAAGCACAGTAAAAAGGCTCTACAACCATGTAATTGCAGGATTAATAAAAAAGTATAAGGCAGCTTTGCTCTACTATTTACACATCAAGCCAATTTATGGAAATCCTCATATAGAAAACTTCAATAATTGAAACTGAGATTCAGAAACAGCTTGATCAATTTAAAGGACAAGAAATACAATTTTTCATGTTAAAAGATTATATAGAGAGAAGAAACTGGTAAATTTTCACAGGATACTTCAAAGGTTATTTCCCCAAGGAAAAAGAATAAGACATGATAGCTTCTTGATCAACACTAACAGTTATGATAGTACTATCCCTGAAAGCTTCTAGATATCCAAGCTATAGTCTACAAGTCCACAAGATTTCTAAGCATAAGAACATTTTGGCAGTAATTGCCATTCTTCCAGAGGTGGATTGTTAAGGGTAAAGGGACAGAGCAAGCACATGCCTTGAGAATAAGCTGGTACAGATAGTATCACAGTACATGGAGAACATTTAAGAACAGAAGAATTTTAAGGATAACAAACAAGATAAGACAAATCATAAAGTGTTTCAGTGAACCTAGCACGGCAGAGAAGCTAGGATGATTAGAATTAAGGACAGTAATTGTCAAATTTGATAGTGATATATGCAATCCTGAACACAAAAAATGAAGTTATCATAAAAATAATCTTTAGTAAAGCTGTCACCTCAAAACCAGAATGGCACAAAAATTTGTGACTGCATGCCAGAGTGCATCAGTGAAGTAAAGGCTACCCAGCTAGGAAAGAGAAGAAAGCAGGCAGCAAGTCTTAGAATAAAGTAGTACTACAGGAGAAAAACATGGAATAAAAGAAGTAAAAGTCATTCACTTTCATCTCATAGAAATGCCATGTACTTTTATAACTACCGAACTAGTTGTATATCACTGCAAAAAGAGGTAATTCAGAATAAAATATAAAGCCACTACAGATGATCAAAGTAAAAGTGCTTCGCTTGGAATAAATATAAAGGCAGTGACTACTGCTTTCTAATTTGTGAAATCAATTTCAGAACCTTCCCCCAAAACAGAAGAAGTTACCATATTTTTAAATATGGATGACATGTTAGAAGAGCTGATAAATGCATAAATAGTTTACTTGAAAATGGAGGTTATTAAAAAGACTATTTGATGCTCAACGTGTAAGTAAGGATCTTTAGTTTCGACCTCTAGCTCTGATCTTAATGGAGTTAGATTACCCTTTGTCACACAGCCATCCTTGCACAAGCCCTTGCACAACTTCTCTCCTATCCTAAGGGGACACAGACCAACGTTGCTGTCACATCCCATTAGGAACAGAGCTGATAAAATACACTAGTATTCCAAGGTGACATAGCTTCTTTCGTTATGTTTGTCACAATATTGATTAGATTAGGTCTGAAGCCCACCTTCGGCCTGCTACTGACCTATCACATCCTCCTGGGAAAGTCTGTAGACTGAGAAACAAAACTGAAAATAACTAGAGCAAGGGAGATGTTCAAGGTGTTTATAGCTCATGAGACCAATATAGATGTGACACGTGCTGATTTTTACTAACTATGCATCCCAATCCATTAATCAAAAACATGACAACTAAATATTACATTATGTTCTTCACAGCAGTTAGCTTTTGGGAGCTTAATAGTGGGAAAATAACACATCAAATATGTTTACTTCATTCACTGGCCTATTTTAACAGTAAAAAACAATAGCATGGTTGAAGCGCTGCCCAGCTCATTTGACCCACTCATATTTTTAAAAGAGCAAAAGAGAGGTAGGTTCAATCTCTGTGGAGCCTTATATCAATTGCCTTCTGCAGAATGTTTAGTTTTAGATATTACTTTGCATTCAGAATAGGTGATGATCTCTCAAATTGGAGAACTGTGCAACTGAGCCATATGCATTTGGTTAATCATAGCAGTAAATAGTTAAAGACCTGTATACCTGTTCTTACATTTTCAGCAGGGTTTACTTATTGGCATTAAACACTTCTAATGTAATACATGCCCTTTCATTGATGTAGTCTCTGTATGAGACAGATTTGACAGCTCTGAAGGCACAAAGGATTACTCTGCATTGCTAAGTAAGTTTTGTGTTTTAGATAGAATGGAGACCAGAGATTTTTTTTTTTTTAAGCATGAGATCACTTTTGCCTATCACACAAGGGCTTCCCCTATAAATACCAAAAGTAGGCACATTTGAACTACAGGGAGTCTGAGCAAAAAGTTCAGTAAATGTCATTCCTTTTTCCTATGCCTTTACCTCCCACATGTAACACCCACTCCTCCAGCAGCACCAAAACTAAGATTTTCTCTTTTCTTTCTTCTAAGTGTTCCCTTCTTCTCCTCCTTATCTTCACACAGCTTTACAAAGTAAGATAACTAAACAGTTGGCACCCTTTAAGTAAAATAAACATTCCTATTTGCAGTAGGGAAATTGTAATACATCTGTCACACTGTAACAATTGTCACACTTAGTAACACCACCTGTGACTAGATGACATAGAAATAACATAAATAAATAAATATATCATGATTAAAAAAAAGAAATCTAGGCTTTTCCTCTGCGTAAAGCTTTATTACCTAAGCGTACCTATGAAAATACATATTTCAGGTTGCTACTTTGATCTTGCACCTTATCCTCCTTTTTGCAGCCGTTAAACCTTCTTCAAAGTTAAGCCCAAGAAATGTTCTTGGCTTGTTCTTAAATTGGCCATGTATTTTTTCTGGTCATCAGGGAAAAAAGTAGATTTCTTTTATATAATCCTACCTTTTTTTAATAGAAGCTTTTTGTATATTACTGAAAGATTTGATAGGGTAGAATTAACACTCCATTGAAAAAGATTTAAAAATAGAGGGAGGGCAGTGAAAGAACAATAATTGCTTATGGACTCAGTTTAATTAAACTTGCTTTAAATATGCTCAAGGATATTTTGAAAAAGCTTCTTCTGCCTATATCTGTAAAGATTACCCTAAGCTCCACAAAACTCAAACAATGCATCTTCATGCTTTGCACACCCTTGCCTGTAGGTTATTACTGTGCAGGCTTCAATTAAGATTCAATAACAGCTTTTACATCCAAAAATTATGTTTGCACCTTGAGAACTTGAAAGAACTGACCTTCTGAGAAATGCCTGGGAATAAGGGATTGACATTTTTATGCTTGAAGGGCTGGAAACTTTTGGGGAAGATTTCAGCTAGAGTTTTCCCTGGTAGGGCCCAGGTCATCTCCCAGAGAAAAATGTTCAGAAGATCCTCTCTTGAATTCTGAAAAAATATTCTCTAATTGCACTAACATGCCTTTGCTGACACTATTAAATAAAAGCAATACCTTTTATATACCTGCACCTGCAATATCTGCAGCTTTTATACTCTGTAAAATAGGAAAGGAAATCCTGAGCTCAGACCAAAAGGAAAAAGGGACGCTCCTCAATATCACCATATACAATTTGTTAATTTTTAAAACAAAAATACTTTTGCTGTGTTTTAAACATACAATCATTTGTTTTTGCCCAGTACAGATCACTGAATGTAAAAGGAGATTCATCTTGGAACTCTTCAGTCATTTCATGTGTATTAGCATGAGAAGTGCCTTTTCTTCCTCTAGTAAAGGAATATGCAGCACGCATACATGGAGAAAATAACTTTTTTCTGTTTCCTCTTGTCCCACTTTCTTATTCCTCTCTCTTCACCCTCCTTTCTACATTTACTTCTGGTCCATAATACTTTCTCAACTCATT